ATAAACGTCGATAGACTCGTGTCAAATGTACAAGAAAGCTTTACAACACAACCAGACAGACGCGTGGACAAGCAGCTTTTTTTACACATCTGTGAGTTCTCTCTCTCAGAAAGTTATTACTCTGATTATTTTTTATGAAATCTGGAACGTATGTTAGCCCTTCAGCTCCTGCATGTGACTGCCAGGGCGACTTAGCTCCAGATGTTAGCAGCTGTCCAAAGCTTTCACGGGAGGGAATTCACTCACACAGAGAATACTTGATGACCTGATGTGGTAAAAGAGGAATGCGGAGCCTCGCTGGCATTTCTCTTTTCACAAAAGCCACCTGAATCTTTGGAAAACTATCTTTGCTGAACATTAGAGCATCTGGCTGTTTAGGCAGAAGGGATGCAGACTTAACTACACTCTGTTTTCTAATTTATAGACTCCAGCTGAGGGGAGCTGGGGGACATGTATCTATGAACTATAGTAATGTGAATGTTAACCTCTTTCTTTCTTCTGCTTTTGTCCCAATTCTTCCCTTTCGGTAAAAAACTAAAAAACAAACACAAACTTTAGAGGTCATTACTGATGTGAATACGACCGCGGTGTACAGGAAGATGTGTATGTAACATGGCTATATGAGGATATTTTAATAAACCTAAACTGTTTTTAAATAAAAAAGTGTGGGTTCACTTTTATCCACAGCACACCCAAAATAAGCAGTATTGTTGTTGGTGTTGATAGTATTAGTTTGACCAGGAACAAACGCCGTTTCATGCTCAAAGAACAGGAACAAATAAAGATATTAGCATTGATTGGATGGGATGAGATCCCTCTGAAGCAGAGCTGCAAACGCACCACTCAGCCCAAGGTCCCTGTAGCTCCCACTCTGCTCCGTATCGGCTCGACCTGGCTGTGAGCGGTGACCTAATAAGCCTCTTAATTTACCTGACAAATCTCCTAATTGACCTTTTAACAAGCCTCCTGGTTGACTTCCTAAGGAACCCTCTAATGAGCTTCCAAACTGACTTAACAAGCCTCCTAAATGACCTCCTAATTGACCTAACAAGCTTCCTAATTGTCCTCCAAAGAAGACTCTTATTTGGCCTAACGGGCCTCCTAATTGACCTCCTGATAAGCCTCCTTACTTTCCTAATGAGCCTCCTTACTTTACTAACGAGACTCCTAACATTCCTCTTAACAAACCTAACTGTCCTCCTAACGAGCCTCCTCACTTTCCTAACGAGCCTCCTTACTTTCCTAACGAGCCTCCTAACGTTCCCCTTAACGAACCTTCTAACTGTCCTCCTAACGAGACTCCTTATTGGCCTAACGAGCCTAACAAGCGTCCTTACTTTCCTAACAAGCCTCCTAACGTTCCCCTTAACGAGCCTCCTAACGTTCCTCTTAACGAACCTTCTAACTGTCCTAACGAGCCTCCTTACTTTCCTAACAAGCCTTCCTAACATTCCTCTTAATGAACCTTCTAACTGTCCTAACGAGCCTCCTTATTGGCCTAACGAGCCTACTAATTGTCCTCCTAACAAGCCTCTTAATTGGCGTAATGGGCTTCCTAATTGACCTAACAAGCCTCCTTACTTTCCTAACAAGACTCCTAAGGTTCCTCTTAACGAACCTCCTAACAAGCCTCCTAATTGACCTAACAAGCCTCCTTACTTTCCTAACAAGCCTTCCTAACATTTCTCTTAACGAACCTTCTAACTGTCCTCCTAACGAGCCTCCTTAATGGCCTAATGAGCCTCCTAATTGACCTAACAAACCTCCTAATTGACCTCCTAATGGGCCTCCTAATTGACCTCCTAACGAGCTTCCTTACTTTCCTAACAAGCCTCCTCACGTTCCTCTTAACGAACCTTCTAACTGTCCTAACGAGCCTCCTAATTCACCTAACAAGACTACTAATTTACCTCCTAACGAGCCTCCTAATTGACCTAACGAGCAGGGTCCCTCTCTGCCTTTGAGTAGCTCCTGAAAACATCAGAATCCATAATCTGGTCCCCTTTAACTGTTAAAAACTGCGTTCCTCATGAGCCATTCGTCACTGGGACGACTCTGGGCTGCCGTCTGGTCTGAGTGGAGACTCTCGCAGCAGAAAGTCTCCCGGAGAGCAGCCGGAGCTGGAAAATGCCTGTGGTTTGTTAGTGCATGAAGGCCTCCATCACCACGGGCCTGGACGGGCTTCAGCCTCCTAATTACACATTCTTTGCTCGTTAAAGGGAGGAATACCCGGCAGCAGAACGGCGACGAGGGCAGCTACATTTTCCATAGAAACAAAATGCAAAGCAAGCAGAAGGAGGTCTGGAGCACGCAGGGCTTTATGGAAAATGCGAGTTAATCCTCCTGCTGCTCGGCCAAGTTGGCAGAAAGCTGCATTCTCCGAGTAAACAGCGGAATATGTTCCATACTGCCTCTGCTTTTATTCCACTGCTCACTCTTCCATGACCCCCCCCCCCCTCTGATGTTTACCACACTAATTAACACCATTCAGACCCCAAAGTGGAGCGAGTTTCGTCGATTTTAAGTTATTGTTCATTCATTTTAAAATTTTATTAATCATATTATTACATCTGAATAGCTCTCCCTGTTGCATTGTAAATAACCTTGATTTATTTATGCATCCAGTGTGCTTCTTATTACATATTCTTATTAAAGAGGACATATTATTCAGTCAGAATAACTTAGATGTTCCTCTCTGTGGGAGAAGAAACCAAAGGAAAGCCACAAAGAGGAACTTTAGGTCAGTTTAGTTTGGTCTGAAAATAAACCAGACAGAAAAGATACAGTTAACTGGTATTTATTTAAAAGAAAACTATGCTAAAAGTTGAACCCAAAGAAAAATAAGAAAAGTTTTAAAAAACCCAAAGAAAAACAACACAGAGGAACTTTAGAGCCTAAAACACCAGAAAACAGCTAACCTAATGGATTAAAGTGGTAAAAAAAAAATCTTTGGACAACCTTTAAATATGAGTTTTAAAAACATGTTAATCCATCATTTAAAGGTGAAATCAATATACAGTAATTGGTCACTGTAACATTTTAGTATTTTAATACCTTTATTAATATATTTAAATAACTCTTATTATAAATTACCTTTATTTATGACTGTATTAGGCTTCTGCTTTTGCCCTTTTTGTCCCTTCTGCTGTAATCTGTAAATTTCCCCACTGTGGGATCAATAAAGTGTTCAATTCCATTTTTGGAAACAATCCATCTATCAACCCTTTAGACCTTGTTATGACATCAAACTGATCCGTAATCCCTGATAAGAACAGGATGGTGACTCGATCGGGCAAAACGAGCAGAAAAGGCCGTTTTGTGACTGGTTCAAATTAGTGTTTTTGCTCCAAACTGGACCGAACTCAGAAGCGGGAGGGAGTCGGAGGAGCTCTGTGGGCTCCTATAACATTAACCATCAAACACAAACCTGCTGACCACTGAGTTTCCAACAGAGTTTCTATTTCTATTACCAAATGTTGAAGGTTTGACAGGCGGGAAAAGACTTAAAGAGGCTTAAAGAACACCGACTGACAACAAGCAGATACAGGAAGTATGTTCAAACTGTTCGTGTGACACAATGAATGTGTTAATTTAAAGCGTATTTAAAGGTGAAAAACCACATAAAGGAACTTTAGAGCCTAAAACACCGGAAACTTCATAATTTCATCACATTATTCACTTTCCCAGCAACACATAAGCTTCTTCCTGTGGCTTTTTCTGGGTAAAAAAGGCTCCCAGAGAACCAAAGCGACCTTATCTGGGAGGCTCATTCAGGCACTTCCTGTTTATTTCTCTGGAGGGGCTCATAAGCAGCAAGCACACCGTTTCTATTAGCAAATATTGAAGGTTTGACAGGTGAGAAAATACTTAGAGGCTTAAAGAACACTGACTGAGAAGCAGATACAAAAAGTATGTTCAAACTGTTCGTGTGACACGATGAATGCGTTCAATTAAAGCAAATTGTGCGTATTTAAAGGTGAAAAAAACACATGAAGGAACTTTAGAGCTAAAACACTGGAAACTTCTTAATTTCATCACATTATTCACTTTCCCAGCATCACATGGGTGTTTTTTTCTGGGTGAAAAAGGCTCCCAAAGAACCAAAGTGACCTGATCTGGGAGGCTCATTCAGGCACTTCCTGTTTATTTCTCTGGAGGGGCTCAAAAGCAGCAAGCACACCGTTTCTATTAGCAAATATTGATGGTTTGACAGGAGAGAAAAGACTTAAAGAGGCTTAAAGAACACCAACTGACAACAAGCAAATACAGGAAGTATGTTCAAACTGTTCACGAGACACAAGAACCAGCCTGAATGTGCTCATTTAGAGCAGATTGACAAATTTAAAGGTGATATCCGAGTGCTTAGGAGGCCACAGATGGAGGGAAAATACAGCAGAACCTCCACTAACGAGGCCTAAACATATGAATTTTCCAACATCCGAAGTTAAATTCAATCAAATATTCAACTCAACACCCGAAATAAATTTCAAACAGATGACAAAGTCATAGAAAAAATATAGAAAATATAAAAATCTAATAAAAATAAATAAGCTAATCTAGTTTAAAGTTCACGTATTGAAAGTTAGATTAAATTAAATGAAAATAAATAAGATATGTTAGTTTCAAATTCAGGTAGTGAAAGTCAGAGTAAGTTAGGGTATGTCCTGTATCTCAGTCTCTACCTGCCAACAAAAACCCTTTTTATTGATTATTTCTCTATCATTTATTTCTTTTTCCATCTCTCTTATACAAGTCATTTGTTTTATTGCTATGTGTAATTATCTATAGTATTTATTAAGGAGTTATCATAGGTTTTTAGAACCAATTATAGGAATTACAGTGTATTCTGATGGGAATATTTGAACCAACATACCCATATTTTAACATAAATTAATAATAATAATAATAAATTAAATGCGTATGTAGAGGTTCTGCTGTATTTTGGAGGTAGAAACAGGAAGGAGAAATTTGAACCGGCAAGGAGGCTCGGAAATGCTCCTTTACTTGCTGAATCCAGCCGCCTCCGAGGGCTGAACAGGGCCCAGATGCATTCTGGGTAAGGGGCTGTGAGGCCCCGGCCCAGATGCATTCTGGGTAAAAAACACGGAGGCCTACCTGGAAGTGCCTGAAGGTTCTGGCGCGGTCGTCACATCGGTCGGAGAAAGTCCGGAGAGTCCTGAAGAACAGAAGCAGGTCCCCGCTCTCCTCCACCCTAAAGGGCAACAGAACCGCTGAGCATTAATCCAGGATTAATTTCCCGTTCATTAGGACCCAGTAAATAAAAATGTCATCACAGTAAAGTTAAACATGAAAAATCTATTTAAATTTAAATGGAAAAATTACTAATCTAATAAAATTAAAATTATCAAATGAAAATATGATGCATTATCTAAAATAAAATAACTAAAAATTCAATAATAAATAGACAAATAATAAATAAATTCGAGATAAGATATAAAATTGAAAATAAAATCAGAAATGAATAAAAACGTTTATAAAAATGAAATGCATTAATTTAAAAATTTAAAATTAAAAAATAAATAAAAGGAAAAATATTTCAGTGGAATTTTAAGAAATTATAAATAAAAAACTTAAAACGTATTTGAAATAAAAACTAAATAAAAAAGTCTAATGGCTAAAGGAACGAAGGACCTCCTGAACCTCTCAGTCCTCCCCTCCAAAAAACCCCCAGCTAAAGTTAATAATAATAGTAATAATAATAATCAGCCCTTTTTATTGGGCCAGCTTCATGTTTTGTATTAGACCCAAACATCAGAGGCAGAAATTAGCCCAAACCAGAAACCTTACTGTCCCTCAGGCTCAGAAACGCTCTGTAAATTTATTTGTTTACTTCGAGAACCAGAAACAACCATAATTTAATGCGCCCGCTGTGATGTCCTACAAACACAAAGTAATTAAGGAATAAAAATCTGATAAACCAGCCACATAATTCAGCATGTTTTAATGTCTCATTTTGGAAGCAGCTATAAATACTTTGGCATCTTTGCTGCAGATTCCCGTCAAACAAACTAAATCAGATCAAATTAATGCTTTTATTCCAGCCGTGCGCCTGTTTGTTTTCCATATTTGCTGTAAAAAAAAATAGGAGAGAATGACGACTGAGTAACAACATGCTGCTTATAAACCAGAACAGTCATCTTTATACCATCAAAGAAATCAGGAAATATCAGCAGGGATCAGCAATAAATCCAGAAATCTGTATTTAAAAGGTTCGCCTCAATGGGAAACAAGAGAAAAAACTGGGTCAAAGGTCTGTTTCTATAAATGAGACGAATGTGTCCACCTTTCAGAGCCCAAAATAGCAGAAAAACATCTGAATGAATCCTGAAATCTGTATTTAAAAGGTTCGGATCAATGGGAAACAAGACAGACAAAAAAAGTGGGCCAAAGGGGTTTGCTTCTACAAATGAGACGACTGTGACCACCTTTCAGAGCCCAAACAAGCAGAAAAGTGTCTGAATAAATCCAGAAATCTATATTTAACCCCTATAATGCCAAATGTATCAGATTTGATTCATATGGTTTCTGAAATCTTTTGGATCTGAGACTTTTTGCATCATTCAGTGGTAAAAGCTTTGCTCAAACCCCTGTTGAACACATTCAGATACACCTGATAACACTACACCAAAATATATTTTTGACTTATTGCACGCTAATTTGATCAAAATAATTTCTTTTTTTTTCCTTCATATGTTGTTGAGGGGCCAAAGAAAGACTTCAGACTAAAAAAATCCAATATTCTTCCTATTTTTCTTGGATCGGGCTTTAAAGGGTTAAAAGGTTCGGCTCAATGGGAAACGAGAGAAAAAACTGGGCCAAAGGGGTTTGCTTCTACAAATGAGACGACTTTGTCCACCTTTCAGAGCCCAAACAAGCAGAAAAAACGTCTGAAATAGCCAACAGAGCAGAAAAAGGACAGCAGAAGCCCGGCGAGAGCCTGACAGGCTGCTGGAGGATTGCAGCGGGGGCCCAGGGCCAGACGGCAGCCGGGTCCAGCCTCCAGATGTAAAAATTAACTCCACACCGAGAGGAGGGAAAGAGGCCGGTTCTGAAGGGGAATGGTTCTGGGACCGGGACCGGTTCTGAACCATAATCCATAATTAAGGCTCACCGGATTATAAGGCACAATGTCTGTTTTTGAGAAAATTGAAGGCTTTTAGGTGCCTTATAGAGCAGAAAATACAGTTAATGAAATTAAATGAACAACCTGATTGTTTTGGATAGCAAAAATACACCTTAAAAGGTGTGATGAGAGAGAAATTAGCAACAAACAACAGCAAATTCCATCAGAGTTAAAGCACAGTGGAGGGAGAGTAGCCCAAAGGGAGCCCAACATGTAAAAAAATAGAAGAAAATCCACCCCTCATTTCGGTATAATCCAGGGATGTCAAACTAATACTAAATTGTGATTATATTTGGCCTGCGAAACAATACCAAATGACTACGATGGCTGGGCCCCGGTATTATACTGTACAGGGCATTAACCGATTATACTACAACTCCCATAATGCACTGCTGCTGTTCAGGACCCAGAAACTCCTCTGTGACAGTAGGAAACACTACAGCTGTCACTGTTTCCCAAAAATGACCAAAGAAAGGCAGGAAACAGGAGCTGTCTGGACAAGCTCATTTTATTTTGATTTTTAATTCAGAAGGCTGCGAATAGAAAAATGTTTTAAAATTTTATTTCATAAATAAATGCCTTTTATGCGTTTTTTTATTTGAAATTTGATTTTTACTCCACTATAAAAGCTGTATATAATGTAATAAGAGTTGCTTGTTCCATATTCAGTGTTAAAGCAAAATTTGTTTCATTCCACATTAAAAGGTTTATTTGTTCAATTTCTGCTTATTTTACTTATTTTTGGTTGTTTTTCTTTCCTTTTTTACTTATTTTTGGTTGTTTTGCTGCTTATTTGACTTATTTTGGGGTGTTTTGCTGCTTTTTCAACTTATTTTTCAGTGTTCTTCTAATTTTTCTACTTATTGTTGGTTGTTTTAGTGCTTATTCCACTTATTTCTGGTCCTTTAGCTTTAGCTTAACCACCATTAACCCCCCCAGGTGACCTCCATGGCCCCAGCAGGAGGGACCAGAGCCCCCTTTGGTTTCCCCCTAATTCTTTAGTTCCACCTACAGTATATTAACTCAGAGCTCCACCATCAGTCAGAGCTGGAGAAGCTTCTGGATCAGAGGCCAAACTTCACCTCCAGCTTAACTTTTGTTCCAGAGGAAGTGATGCTTTAACCTTTAACCTTTCGGGGTTCGTACCTGCTCAGGAAGCTGCTGAAGCTCCGCAGGTCTGGGGAGTCCAGCACCACGTTCAGTTCGCTGAGCCTCCGCTCACAGCTCTGACCCACCTGAGACACACACACAGCTCTTTATTGAACACTTTATTGATCCCACAGTGGGGAAATTTACAGGTTATAGCAGAAGGGGCAAAAAAGGAAAAGCTGAAGCCTGATAAAGGCATAAATATTTGTATTTGAATGAGTCTTATTTCCTTATTTCTATTCTCAGATCTATATTTTTAAAGATGTACTTTTAGTTTTATATTTTCAGTTCTATATTTTTATTTCTACATTGCATTTCCTTGCTTCTCATAGAAGTGTTGTGCACCAAACACCAAGGCAAATTCCTTGCAAGTCAAAATCCTACTTGGCAATAAACCTTATTCTAATTCTGAATAAAGGCAATTTACAATGCAATTAAACATATAAAGAGATTCTTATATCTGAATAACTAGATATAATAGTAATTAAAATACTAATATATTAAAATGACTAATTTACCAATTAATGGGAATTGATTGAACTTTACCTGATTGATTAACAGGTTTTTAAAACTCATATTTAAAGGTTGTCCAAAGATTTATTACCACTTTAATCCCATTAAGTTTGCTGTTTTAGGCTCTAAAGTTCCTCTATGTGGCTTTTCTTTGGGTTTTTTTAATCTATTTTCTTATTTTTCTTTGGATTAATCACAGATAGTTCAACTTTCAGCATGATTTTCTTCTAAATAAATACCATTTAACTGTATCTTTTCTGTCTGCTTTATTTTCAGACCAAACTAAGCAGACCTAAAGTTCCTCTATGTGGCTTTTCTTTGGGTTATTTATTTATTTATTTTCTTATTTTTCTTAGGGTTGATCGCAGATAGATCAAATTTCAGCATAATTTTCTTCTAAATAAATACCAGTTAGCTGTATCTTTTCTATCTGGTTTAATTCAGACCAAACTAAACTGACCTAAAGTTCCTCTTTGTGGCTTTTCTGTGGTTTCTTTTCCCACAGAGAGGAAGATCTGAGTATTCTGACTGGATATGTCCTCTGTAATAACAATATGTAATATAATAATAAAAATCTGTCCTCTGAGCTTCAGATCAAACAGTTTTCTGCCTTTTTTCCCTTCACAAAGTCTTCAAAACGAGGAGCTTCCTGTCTCAGAGGTGCAGAAAAGCTGCTCCATCATCAGTTCTGCTGGTTCTTTACTGTCGTCCTGAGCCAGAAACTCCCATGATGCACCTCTCCTCCAGCTAAACTTTACAGCTCTGAGGCGTTTGGTCAGATTTAGGTTTTTTTAGTCAGACTGAATAGCTGAACGTGGCTCTCTGCCGCCCTCTGCTGGTCCGTTCCAGGAACAATTTCAAACTTAATTACTGACATCATCACCACCATTTATTTAGACCTCTCTCTCTCTCTCTCTCTCTCTATATCTATATATATTATATGTGTAGATAGATAGATAGATAGATAGATAGATAGATAGATAGATAGATAGATAGATAGATAGATAGATAGATAGATAGATAGATAGATAGATAGATATGTATATGCCGTTGTTTTATTTATGGACCTAGTAAAAAAAAAAATTTTCTTCTGGGATTATTAAAGTATTTATGATTCTGAACATGTTCTTTATCTGAGAATGTTTTTTCCATTATAAATGTCCACTCGAAAAAGAGTCGGATGTTCACTGACCACTTTTCCATTTCTTATCTAATAGTTTTCATGTCTGATGGGTTGAAAACACATTGACATTTTGGCCAAACTTCCTCTGATTAAAGTATTTCTGATTCTGAAAAATAAAATAAAATAAAATAATAATAATAATAATAATAATAATAATAATAATAATTTACCTCTGGGATTATTAAAGTATTTCTGATTCTGAACATTTCAGACTTTTCAGTTTTTCCACATCGAGTTCATTGTTGTTTTATGTGCTGTGACTTTTAAGTTTGCCACAATTTCCACCACATTCAGGATATAAACCATCTTTTTGGGCCTCATGCTGACTCGATCAACAGTTCTCAGGATCTTTGTGTAAGAAAAGCCAATAAATCAATCGTCCTCCATTTGAGGGAAGTTTTTAAACCCAACCTGAGCTTCTGTGTTGTGTTTCAAAGCCTCACCTTCATCTCAGAGAGTTTGAACTCCACTTGGAAAACGAGCTCAGAGCAGTGGCCGGACAAACAGAGCTTCTGGACCAGCTTTCTGCCACCTGACACACAGGAAAAAACAGATTAATCACAACTCATTCCCTCCTAAAAGCCTCCAAAGCCACAACTTTAATGCTCCTCTGTGTACTGTGTGATTTCCCCAGTGGAAACATGGGAGGTTCGTCACTTTAGGGATCCTAAAAAGGTCTTTTTAAGACACTGAGAACGGAATCTGCCACCTCAATAGGAAATGTTGACTTTTTCTGTGTTTTTTCAGTGTTTTTGTCGATTTTCTGCACATTTACCTTTCAAAGCAGCTTCAAAAGATGGAATATTTGTATTTAATATATTAAAAGGTTATTCAAATGTCAGTAATAACATCAGTTACAACTTATAAGCTTTTATATATTTAACGGACTTTTTGTTTAGATTGAAGTTGATTTCTTTGTCTAATTACAAATATAATAACACTTAAAATACTTGACTAATCATTCCTTCTTAAAATTGTTTTTTTTTTATATTTTCTTAGTCGAGTTAAACACCAAGTTTATTGAATTTAGTTGTTTTTTTTTTAATGAGTAAATACAAACATCTAGTTTGAAAAAAAAAAAAAAACTGTAGAATTCTTAAGATGATTAAATTCTCCCTCTATTTTAAACATATCACTAAACTGGTTTTACATCCATTATACAGAAGCGTGTTTTTAATCAGAATTAAAGAAGTAAAAATCTTCCTTTCTGCGGCAAAATGTTAAAACAGACATAAAACAGAGACAAAATATGAACATCTTCATCCACAGAAACAAACTGTGATTTGAAGGAAAATCAAGAAAAAACGCATTTATGTCTCCAAGAAGCTGCAAAATTGAGTCGATTCTGTATTTAAATTAAATAATTCCTGCAGTTTTTTTCATAGACATGAGAAATGTTAACATTTTCGTGTTGAGCCAGACAGTAAAAAGCTGTTTGTGCATTTTTTTTGTGTCCATCCACACTAAATATTCTTATTTTCATCCAACTACTGACTGAAAACCGTCTGTGGAGCAGCTTTCTGCTCCCAGATCGTCCCACAGGGCAAAAAGAGGCCTCCCCTCAGCAAAAGTATCGATACTAAAATGTTGATACCCCCCCAATGATTTATTTATTTATTTACGTTGTTTATGATCATTAACATGGCGTTAGCGTTGAATTGCTAGCTGCGGCTAATGGCTAATAATAACATGCCAACATTAATCAGACTGCAGGAAGCCAAGGATGGATATCCAACTCCACCCACATTGATTAGGTCACCAATAGGAAGATCCTAGGCAAGAAAATCTATAATTGCTTCATAACAATATAGACATCCATTTAAAAATAGTTAAATTAATCTTGCAAACACTGAATTAAACTCTATGCATAATATTATGTTAAAATAGTGGATGTTAAATAGGTTTGTACAATAAGTCCAAACAAGTTTAACCCCAAAATATTTATTTCTCACAATGGGCTGGAGGGTTAGGGTCAGGGTTAGGTTTTTTTTTTATAAGTTAATTATTATTTATTTATTATATTGTGTGTTAATTGTGGGCATATGCACTGATTGATGGCACTTTTTAAATTTTGTTGTTCTTGTGACAATGATAATAAAGATTCATTAATTCGTTCAGGATTAGGATTAGGGTTAGGGTCATTAATGTGGACAACCATAACATCAGTAACAGGTCAGTTTGAAACTAAAGACACTAAATTGTCAAAATTCATTTCAATTTTGGGGTCTTTGATTTTATCCTTGTGGTATCGAAAATGGTATCGAGTATCGGATATTTTCCTGAGTATCGGTATCGAGTTGGAAATTTTAGTATCGTGACCACCCTACTTTGCAGCGTCTTTACGAGGCATCTGCTCAGACTGATGCCGTTCATCTGCGTCTGCAGCTCCAGATCTGCCTCCAGCTCCTGGATCTCCTCCCTCAGCTTGGAAAGCACCTCCTCCTGCCCTCCGGCCGCTCTCTGCCCACACAGGTGGGCCCTGGGGTGGAAAAGAGGCATTTATAGAGAGAAAAACAAACATGTGAGCCACTTTAGGAGCTAAACTCAAACCCACAGGGCGTCCCGCATGTGTCCCGGGAAGTGCAGAGTTAAGTCTTTATGGTTTTCCTGCTGCTGGAGCTTTAAAACTTCCACCTCAGCCTGAAGACGCTCGATTTGAGCCTCCAGCATCTTCACTTCATCAGAGTTCTCCTCACTCATCTTCTCCTCTGTTCTTCTGTTGGGTGGAGACAAATTATCCAGTTAATAAACAGACAGGCAAATCTCATTAGTTCAGAAAATACTACCATGGTCTTAATTTTGTTTTGTTTTTATTGCTGTGAACACTGACTCTGATGTCTGACTTTAAACCAAACAAATGTATTACTTTTTTGTTTTCTAATTATTATCATTTTATATTTATTTTATATTTTCAGTCCAAGCAGCCAGACTCTCTTTAACCTCTAAAGTGTTTCTGAGCAGAAGCTTTCTGCAGCTTTCAGAGTTTTTCTGCTTCTTCTCTCATTTTTAGTCCAGTTTTTCTCTGTTCAGCATCTAAACTTTGAGTCATTCAGACCCCTAACTCAAGGGCTGAGCCAGCGTCTGCAGTTTAAAGTGGATCTATAGGCTCTTTGTCACAGAGACACATCATCTGTTCCATTTCTGTATCTGATGGAGGAAAAAGGCCAAAGAAAACACAGTCTGACAGACAGGAAACAGGATTTCTGAGGATTCCCAAAGAGTTGGTGTCTGGAAACTGGGCAGATCTCAGTTTGGTGAGCAGAGTCCCTTAAAACATCTGAGGAAACTGGACCAGTGGAAGACAGAAGAAGAAGAAGAAGAAGAAGAATTGGGCCTAAAAAAACTCTCTAAACCAGCAGATAAAGACGATCTGAAAGTGAGGTCCTTCAAGAAAAAGAGGTGCTCCTTAAATAAAGGACACAGCTGCTGGGAGAGGGCTCAGACTGCGGATTACAGCACTGGATAATAACAAATATAACACAATCTGTAGATAATTTGAGCTATTTAACTAGTAAACGGTGGCATGGCATAAATCTGAAGAAATGTGTTGAAAAAAACTCAGTTTAGCTGCTGTCTGAAAGGAGCTTTTCAACAAATGTAGCTAGCAAAACACACCAACGGTCCGCAAAAAGACGAAATTAATTAAATATTTTGAACGACTTACTTCAAGCAGATGACGGCGTTAGAGTTTAAACCCGTTCAGCACAATTCCGACTTAACTTAGTAATAATACGTGATGTGGTACCTGATTTATTCCCGTTTTTTCGCCGCACCGAAGAACCAAAACAGTTTGGAGTCGCGCGCTATCTGGACTGTACCACTTTCTGCCGATCGTGGGGGGAGAAGAGTTCCTGTGATGTACGTCTGGGTTCACATTCTGCTTCTTTTTACATTTATAATAGAAGTGTTGAATATAAATAGTATTTAGAATACGGATTATATCTTCTTATTGTTGGGAAAAGACACCAAAAACAAAAAGTACCAACCTCAGTTTAAGGAATCGTCCTTTAACCGGGACGTTGTAGAAAATGCCAGCTGTAGCTAATTAATAATCTTCAAGTTGAATTAAAAACACATACTTTACAAACAAACATGAGGTAAACTTTTAATAAAAAATAAAAATGGCTAAATGTACTATTTTAATTATGGGTGGGGGTATTTCTAGAGTTAAACATTTTTAAATTAACGTCCGTAGATAGTTCCGTTTTCCGTGAAGAAACCCGGAAGGATATGTTTGTTGGACAACGCCGGACTCAGTTAACAGGCGCACCACCTGGATACATGTGAGGTAAATAGTTCTGTGTTTTAGTCTGTTCTTATAAATTAGGTGTAAATATTAGTGGTGTTTTTTCTGTTAGATCAATAAGAAGTTGAGCCGCTCAGAGAAAATCAAATAAATTGATGTTAATTCTGTCTGTAAAGCCATTCTGTGTTGGAGTTTGTAGGGTTAGTTGGATGTTTCTAGCGATCCATTATACAGGCTGCTTTTTCTCTTTATGGTCAGTTCATTTACATCCTGGTCATTTTAGCATTGTAGCTGTCTTACTTGCCTTCATTTAATTACTTTAACTCATATGTCAGAGTACTGCACTGCATCCGTTTTTAACAGCAGTTTGTACGAAAATCTGAGTTTATTATTGTCTGTTGCTCAGTAAAGTGAAATAAAATGACACATGATGCAAGCCTGCTCAATTTGATCAACGATTAATCCCATTTTGCTTCTGTGCAGGTGCTCAAAGCCTCCTCCTGTCGCTGTTCCTTTGACAAGGGAAAATAGTCTGCTGGATGTTTTGGGAAGGATCAAAGTCGGTAGAGTTTCCTCTCCTCTTTAGTTTCAGAGTCCTGGTGGATGCAGAACAATGCGGCGGCTGTATGTCGGTGGGTTGAGCCACAAAGTCACAGAAAAAGATCTCAAAGACCGATTTGGCAAGTTTGGAGAAGTGGAGGATGTTGAGCTGCGGACCCGGAGGGACGAGGAGGGTGAGGCACCTGCTCCACACTTCATGGTCTCAGAAGTCAAATTTCAGTCTCCTATAATAACCCCCCAACTCTTTTAGGTCTCCTAACACTTAGCTGGTTGACCATCAAAGGCAGTGTGCGAGCCAGAAGTTATTGGAAATGTGAAAAACAGATTTCAGAGCCTCTTTTTTACACCAACAAAAAATTTTGATGACAGATATACTCATAAAAACTATTATAAATCCCAGTTACAGCATCCATGCAGAAACGCTTTATTAAAAGTGACTTATGAAATCTTAATAAATTGTTTACTGGGTCATGCAGCACCTTATTGAAAATATAACTTTTTGAAGTAGTTCTATGATAAAATAAAGTGAAAACTGTTAAATGTGTCAAATGTTTATCATAGAAAGGAAGAGCTTGTTACTGGATTTATCTTTAGGCCGGATGTTGGATTACCAGTAACTGTGTTTTTGTTTCTGCTTTTCTCCTCCAGGTGTTCCTTATAAAACCTTTGGCTACATCAACATCAGCATTTCTGACTCCGACCTGAAGAGATGTAAGTTAACAAAGCCCTCCTCTTAAAAACGAGACTGGAAGAGTCATGAAAGAGAGCCACACCTCCTTTAAACTATCACCAATATCTTACTGAGACTATTATAGCTGAGCAGACTCTGATGGAAAACCTCAGCCAGTCACTCAGGAGTCAGAGCAGACTCTCATTGTTTTCCTGTTTCTCTTCTTCTGCGTCTAACTAAGGCCACAGTTTCAATCAATCAATCAAGGTTATTATTTGTATAGCCCTTTACAATACCCAAATGTTACTCAAAGTGCTTTACAACAAAGCCATAAAACAATACAAAAAACATACAAAACATACAGAAACAACTAAAAATGCTGTTTTCGGCCTATTTCAACAAATAAGGTCTCAAAATGTTCGGCTCCTTCAGCACTTTTTAGCTTTGACTTTTGCTGTTCAAATCTTTTCAACTTTTTAAGTTATTTAACTTTTTCTGCTTTTATTTTCTCTCATTGAAATGAATGGAGTCAAAAGAACAAACATGGCTCCATCGGCTGGTCACGGGCATTTCAGCCCCTTCAAATTATTCCTATATAGTATTATGCAGCCTTTCTGACTGGGGTATAGATCAGTGGTAGAGGGTTTGACTCAGGGTTTGACACCAGTTCGAGAAGTCGGTGGTTCAAATTCCATTAAAGTCTTCAGTTCTTCTAATTCGTTTGCCTTTGTTCTCCCACTCTTCAGTTCCATGCCTTCTTCAGCTTTACTTTGGTTTCTTCTGGTTCCTCCCCTCAGCATTTCTTCTTCCAATTATTTTGCCTTTCTTCTTCCACTCTGTAGTTCTACGTCTTTTTCCACTTTAATTTGGCTTCTCCTTCTTCCTCCATTCAGCGTTTGTCATTCTCACAGCTGGTCTGCAAAAACTGCCTATTCTAGTTGTGAGACAGTCTTTCTCACTATTGTTTTCCTGTTTTCCTTTATTATTCTTTATTCCGTACATTTTTCTGCATATAAATACACTTATTTAAACAAATGAGGTATCAAAATGTTCAGCTATCTCAGGAGTATGCAGCTGTGACTTTTGGTGTTCAAATCTTTTCAACTTTTTAAGATATTTAACCTTTTACGCCTTATTCCTCTCATTGAAATGAATGGAGCAAAAAAATATTCCTCCTCAAATCTTTTCAACTCTTTAAGTGATTTTACTTTTTCTGCTTTTATTTTCTCTCATTGAAATGAATGGAGTCAAAAATATGGCTCCATTTGCTGTCACTGGCATTTCAGACCTTTCAAATAGTTTCTATATATTCTTGTTCATCCTTTCAGCCTGTGATAGAGCTCAGTGTTTGGCTTCATATCCAAAAGTTGCCGGATCAAATCCAGCTCAAATCTTCTTGTACCTTATTTCTAATTCCATGGCCTTTTACTCTTCTTCTAATCCTTTTACCTTTCTTCCTCCACTATTTAGTTTTAAAATGATTCCTCCCTTCAGACTTTTTTCTTCCAATCAATGTCTTTTTCAGCTTTTCTTTGGCTTCTTCTCCTCTAGTTTGTTGAGCTGTTTTCTGTGTTTGTCTCCTTAAACCTGTGTGTCCTCACAGTTTGTCTTCTCTGCAGGCATGACAGTGCTGAACAAATCCAAATGGAAAGGAGGGACTCTGCAGATCGAAACGGCCAAAGAGAGCTTCCTGCACAGGTGGGGCCTCGTTCAACGTTCCAGCTTAACTCATTGACTGCCAGCCATTTTCAGAACAGAGAGTCCCATACTGCCAGAGTTTTTGAGCATTTTGACTGATTTTTCAAGAGCCACAGAATGAGCCTGATATTTACGGACAAGCTTTAGCAGATCGTCCCCCAGCCACTCTCGTTGAAAAACATAAAAGACGTCTATAGACGTCTTTGGCAGCCAATGAGTTAAGCTCATATATATCGGCTTCTAGACAGAGTATGTAGTAACAAATTGACCCTCTAGGGGGCAGTGCCACTTTTGATGGGAGATGAGCATAGACTGTAGGCAAATAAGAAAAAGGTAACGGTTCGCTATGAGAGAACATGTCGCCGGTGAGACGCAAGTCCAGGAAGAACAGAATAAGGTATAAACAACATTTTTTTCCTGATGAAAGAAGAGAGTCTACTCTTTCTTTTGGTGTGTTCGGTGTTTACATAGTCGTAGCACAAACTATTCTGTGGTTCTTGAAAAATCAGTCAAAATGCTCAACAAAAAACTCTGGCAGTATGGGACTCTCTGTTCTGAAAATGGCTGGCAGTCAATGAGTTAATAAAGTCGACTCACCCCTCTGCTCTGTGTGGGTATTTCTGATTTCTGCAGGCTGGCCGAGGAGCGGCAGGCTGCCGCTGACCAGCGGCTCCAGCCTCCGGCTGCTGACCCCCGGCAGGAGCTGCTGGAGTCCTTTAGCCGAAACGGCGTGGAGAACTTCACCATGAAGGCCGCCGTGCCGGGGACAGAGGTCCCGGGACACAAGGTCCGATCACCCGCTGCTTCCTGCCCCAGATGGGTCGCATTTTTCTATTTGTTACGTACATGTGAAGGTCCTCAGACATCCAAGTTAAGCTGGAAGTTTTCTAGAAGATCCAGAAGCTTCTCCAGCTCTGACTGATGGTGGAGCTCTGAGTTAATATACTGTAGGTATATTAACAACCAAAAATAAGTGGAAAAGGCAGCAAAAAAAGCATAAATGAGTGGAAAAAGCAGCTTAACTTCCAAAAATAAGTAAAACTAGCAGCAAAATGACCAAAAATAAGTGGAAGAAGCAGCAAAACACTGAAAAATAAGTAGAAAAAGTGTGAAAACAATGACTAAAAATGTAGAGTCGGGTTAATATACTGTAGGTGGAGCTAAAGAATTAGGGGGAAACCAAAGGGGGCTCTGGTCCCTCCTGCTGGGGGTTAATGGAGGTCACCTGGGGGGGTTCATGGTGGTTAGCAGCTAAAGGACCAGAAATAAGTGGAAGAAGCAGAAAAACTATTTTAAAAAAGCGGAAGAAGTAGAAAAACAACCAGTAATAAGGAAAAAAGGGAAAAAACAACCGGAAATAAATGGAAAAGGCATCAAAATAAGCCAAAATGAGGGGAAGAAGCAGCAAAACAATCAAAAATAAGTGGAAAAGGCAGAAAAACAATGACAAATAAGTTTTAAAAAGCAGCTAAAATAAGTGGAAATAGCAACTCACTTATTTTTGCTGCTTCTTTTACTTATTTCTGGTCCTTTAGCTTTAGCTTAACCACCATTAACCCCCCCCACCTACAGTATATTAACTCAGAGCTCCACCATCAGTTAGAGCTGGAGAAGCTTTCTTGGATCTTCTAGAAACCCCCCCACCCCCCCTCCTGCCTGAGTTGGACTCTTCCAGCCTCCTGTGTCTGACCCTGGCCTCTCCCTGCTTCCAGGACTGGGTGGTGAGTAAATTCGGGCGGGTTCTCCCGGTCCTGCAGCTCTGCTCCCGCAGGGGCAG